AAACGATTATTTCGCATTACTTAAATATAGGGAAATACTCGTATATTATATTACCTATCACTTAATCTAACCCAACCTTACTATGTATACATTATACGTATTATACATGCGATTAATCTATAACTGAGTTTAGGTATGCTTAAAAAAAAAAACAGTACTTAGTTTTTGATTAATTAATTGATCATTTTATTCTAAAATTTTATGACGACAATATTAAAGCTTGGTGTCGATTTTTTTATTGCGTTCCGTTCATTCTTTCGTTAAAATTTCAAGTGCACCACCGCTGAATGTTTCGTGGAGGCGTATTCCGGACATATTATTTATGATGTCGGATAAAAAGTGTGTACACACATCAGTTCTAGGGTTTTGAGCGATAAAAATATAAAAAATAAATAAATAAACAGTAAGGTTTCGATCGAAAGCCCCTCGTATCTTCGTCTTACGAGAGAATTTTTTCTCTCTTTGCGTTTTCGTTTCACTAACTCTGAAGCGTACGTATATAATATATATATATATATGAAATGAGAATATTGTTAACTTGAATTTCGGGTCAAACATTTTTACCGGGCCCAGAAATGTTCTAAGCGTGTGTGTGTTTTTTTTTTAGTACATAATCAACTTTTAGCGTGTGATTTGAACCTTTCAAATTACTTGAAATCATTGATAAAACAAATATCGTTTTTTTCTTTTTTATGTTCTAGTTGACAACTATAATTTGACTTGTCTATACCTGTTCTGACAGTACGTTTTTATTCGTATATACTATATACCAATATGCAATGTTTAAATCATTTTTTTTTCAATTCTCTAGTAGTAAATGTATAATATGTTTGTATATTGATATTTTATCAATTAGACTATACTAAACTATAAATATCGAAACTTAAAAATTTAAAAATAAAACTTTTAACTCTTTCCAAATGTTTTGGGTATTTTAAATCTGAATCTAGAAATGAGTTTTTACGAATTAAAAATATTGTTATTAATACAGATATCACGTAAGAGTGTCCTAATGAGTGGGACTAGTTGAATTTGATCGCGCCAACCTTAGATTTATCTTTTTTTGGAAAAAATTATTTTTAAGAAATACGGTTTAACAATTTTATAAATCAAGTTTTAAATATTTGTAATTTTTAGGGTATAATATTTATTATAGCAACGATTCTGCAAAAAAAAAAAAATGATTAATTTTAGGACATTGAATTCACGCAGCCTATATGTGTGCATGTTATTTCTGATATTATGATATTATTATTATTTTTTTAAAACGTTTATTTATTGTGTCCATACTTTATCAATCTTTCGATCATAGAATATACCTACCTGTATAATTGTACGCACTAAAATTTAAATTGAATCGCAATCAATTAATCGGATTGGTATACGAGTGCGACGCGCGCGTACACGCACAACATAATATTATTTCTTAGTTAATAAATTATTTTTTATAGGTTTTTCACTCCACGGACAATTATGATTTTTATACGAGTTTTATTATATGGGTACCTATATAATCGCGAAGCCCGTTTTTGAAATTTATGTTTTCCCATTAAATACGTGTTATTGATTTCTTTTTTCTCTTCTTGGTGTATCCTATTTAATTTCAATAATTGAATGTTTCTCTCCTCGACAATTACCACAATACGTATATGATAATATTATATTATAGGGGTACAAAATAATATATAATTTAAAAAAAAAATTACAATAATAAATAAATAAATATGACCGACTAAAAATTAATGCAATAATATTCGTCGATAAAACGTTTCATGTTCTATTCCGTGGTTAGGTCAGCTGGTCTGTAATGTTACAGTTACATTACATTGAAGCCGGACGCCTAACTGTGGAGACGAGAAGCAACCGAAATCTCGCACAAGTATTTTTGCGCGTATGCGTATATATTGCATATATTATAATGACGTGCAATTTATCATACTTTGCTGCGTTACGATAAATCTCCGTCCAAGTCTAAGACGCGTGTGCGCTTTATTTATTTGTTGTTAAAAGGTCACATCGATCGGTTTCGGTCCTGCGTTGCATTATTATTACACGTCTTGAAAGAACGAAAAATAATAATTTATATGACAATCGACGATGACATATTATATTGCTATGTATATTATTATTTATTATTATATCGATGGTCGTAACACCCGGCAAACTCTTCACGCATCGCGATTCGCCTATTGAAGTGTGATAAAAGCACCGGTTAACACCGATACAAATTAGCACAACTTACTATTAGACGTTTATACAGGAACGCAATTAGTATCGTACCGCCGGTGGAGGATAGAAATTTCCATATCCCCGAGTCCACAATCATAATAATTATAATACAATTTACGATATCACATAAATTACAACAGTTATCATTATTCCGATATAATTTGTACATATTATTATGAATATGAATATTATTTATGAACAATACGAATGGAAAATCATGTCATATCTGTTTTTAAGTACGTTTAATATGTTCATGATATATATCCAACTAATTATAGATTGAAATAGTTTTAAAATTGTATAAGATACAATCTTAAATACATGCATTTTCAATATTTTTTTTAAATTTAAATATCCGATTCAATTTCTTATAGTTACGTGTATACTGTCTACCTTTAATTAAATATACAAAACGACATATATATTTTTCTATATAAATTGTAGGTTATCCAATTACAGTATACCGATAATTGTTTGTTTCTCTTTTTTAATTACAGTTGTGAGTAATGTGGTTTTTAAAAAAATCGATACCTTGACAACCTACGTAACATACATTGGTCTGTTAATTTTTTGTCTTACCTACCTTTAATAATTTATTTTTTTCTGAAAAAAATAAATTATACTTTTACTGTGATACATATATCATAATATATTCTATGTATTAACGATAATTACTGATTAATAACGTGTTCAATAACAACTTAAGAAAATGTCATACACGTGAATTTACAAGTAACTCAAAATTTAAATTATGATTGATTGATAAGAACAATATCAATGTATCAGTACATAATAGAGCAGTATATTATATCATTTGTCCGTTGTGAAGATATAAAATTCATTATTTGAAACACTGGATATAGTCAAAACTCACAATTTATATTATTATAGGTAATATACTTAGACTTATAAATATGATATACTTAATATAGTATATACCTTAATAATCTGATGATCGGATGTATGTTATTTGTATGTGATGCGTCCAATTAAATCGGTTTATATTAAATGTTTTGTATTGTTTTCTGAGTGAGGTTTTTAATGATTTTGCAATTTAAACCAAAATTACAATTTATTATCTACTAGAATAAAGTTAATATTAACAATAAAACACAAAGCAAAATTTATTTTTCTATTTACATAATATTGAGTATTTTTTTTTTTAACATTATTGTACCTACTGTTGTAAATTTTTTTTTTTTACCATTGTATTGTAAAATACAACTTCAAATTTTACCTAATTATTTCAAAGCGTTTCAAAATGTTAGGGTTAAGTAACGTTTCACTCTCGCTTTTGCATCAATTACACGCATAATAAGAACGTTCATTGAAAATAATTAATTTAGTTAAATTCTGCTATAAACAAATGGCATTTATATAAATCAAACAAAACACAGATAATCTATGTAATTTTATATCTCTACTTAATTAAAATGAATAGTTAACAATAATATCAACAATGATTTAATTATCTCAAAACAATAAATATAAATAACGAGCACAAAAACTTCTCAATGTTTATACATAGTAAACCCGTATATTCTGTTGTCTGGTCATTCGTTTAGAACTTAATCAAAATAAAATATGTAGAGTTATACAATGTGCATAATATTGCATAATATACATATTACACTAATTTGACAAACGATTGACATATTAAAAAAAAAATGTACTTATCGTGTATTATAAACTATAATAAATTTATCTAATTTCTTAACAACTATTAATGTAAAATATTATAATATTATACAAGTGACAAAAGGTAAACGTTTTTATTTCTAATTGACATTGTTTGTTTTTTTTATAAAAAAAATAAAAAGTATAGTAAAAATAATAAAAATAAATAATTATGATTTCACGTGTATAAATGCCAATAGTATATAATTTATTTAAACAAACTGAAATTAAGATATTATGTATTATATATTTTTATATAAGATAGTAAAATACTTTTTTCCAATCGACCATTTTGCTTACTAATGAATTATCACTTAATACAATTACTTATTGTGATACACGTTATTCTATCTAGACTTTTGCGTTTTGGGATAAAATGGCTATTTGTATTTTTAACACAGCTGTGTAAAACAAAACGTCATCGTTTGACCTGTTAGTATACGGTTAACCGTACTATTAATGTATTATTATATCGTAGTTGCCGGCCGTGACACTAGTCTTCTCGTTCAGAAAATTCGTTTTTCGCGCAAGTGTTGGTCAGAAGCGAGCCTCCAAGTGTCCGCGGGTCCGTGTTTGTCATGACCGTCTCGGCGAGGAGGAAATTATTTTCGGTGGAATCACGGTGGTGTATCGGTTATCATAATATCTATAGACCACTCTCATAATATTGTTACTTCCGCGGACGTTACTGTTATGTATTGTTTAATATTATGCGTCCTTTCCACTACACGCGATCGCCGACAATAACCGTTGTGTAGTGACATTTTGTTAAAAAAATCAAACGAAAAAAACCTTCGTGCTAATCGTCATCGTCCGGTTCCAGTCGTTGTCGTCCGTCCATAATACAATTTATAAATAACAAATTATTTGACATGTCCGTGAATTTAAACAAAAACGGTGAATCATGAAATAGAAGGTATACTTATATTGTAATATTATTTATAAATAGTACTTGTTAAAAAGTGTACTATTATATTGTATGGTAACGGCAGTGGCATTATGTCGCGTTGTTTTGTATTATCGTTTTTTTACGGCGTCCGTTCTTCTGTTTTGTTTTTACTCAAATTAATTGTACTCACCACTTTATTTTGCAGGTGGTAAACCATGTGGGCAGAATGAGTCGGGGCCGAAGAAAATTGTTGGTGTACGGGCTGGTCGTCGGCACGTTGCTATTGCTGGCGTACAAGCTGCGCTCATGTCCCGAACCCGAACCTCAAACCATGTTCATGATGCCGAAAGACGTGAGTATACCTACGATATTATAAAACAATAAAAATAATTTAAAAAAATTTAAATTATTGTTAAATGCGTCAAACTATAAATATGTGAATTTTATAATTCCTGTTCGTAATAGCGTCGTTCCAGTATACGGTGTGTGTGCAGGTGGAAATGGGGTGTATACCGCGCCAACCATTGGAGCTTAATATATTATGGTTTTACGAAATTAGAAACGTTTTGAAAAAAAAAAAAATCGCCAACAGCTAGGTCATTTTTAATTGATATAATATTTTACTATTTATTTTTCCAGTAAGAACAAAATCGATTATTATTTTAATTTTTTATGATATAGATAGGTACGCATTATACAGTGTAAACGACAGTGGAATAATAAAAATTAAGTGCTAATAGTCTGACAGTTTTTTTTTTTTTTTAATTATTTTCTTTATTTATTAATTTACTCATATTTAATTTACGTATCTACAGAGTCTCGAAAAGAATTTCACCGTTTTTAAGTAGCTCGCATAGCCGCTAGGGTATGTCTCATATATAATATATTATGTTATTAGTCTTACAGTCTTAAAATATTAGATCCTATCGTGGATCTTTTAGTATACACCATTGATCATATTAAGTACTCAGTAATGTGATTTATAATATTATGACTCGAAAGCGTATTGAACATTTAAACGATCAAACAATGTTTTTTCTTGTATTCATACTAAAAACAGTTTTAAAATATTTATTGATTTTTTGTTAAACATATTTTTCCCAATTTATATTTACAGTAATTTCCAATTAAGTATTATTGACATTTTTTTGTCATCTGTTCATAAATTTATTATTATTAAAATCTATATTAGAGCAATTAATGTATTTTGTATTATTATTATCACACAATGTACCTATATTAGTATTAAATAATCGTATCGCTTAATTATAAATTATAATGATTTCAATGCATAGATTTCGAAAGGTCTCGCGTTTACTAACTACATGCGTAAGTTTTACATTTTTAAACGTACTGTTAAGATAATATCATGACATCTCAGACTTGTTATTATGTATAATACAATTCAATAGATTTTTTTTTTTACATACGTTGTTGTAAATTTATTTATAATATTTTTTTTTTTTTTTTTTTTTTTTTTTTTTAAGGCCTTTGAGACCATCTTGCCATAGAACAAATCAATATTAAAACAATAAAAAAAAAACAATATTAATGCATATTAATATATTTTCTATATAATAATTATATTATTATTTATCACTAAAATGTCTCTTTGTTATTATACATTTTTATACAGTTATCTACTTTTAACTTATGTACTATGTTACATTATTACCGATAATCACATGACAGATTCTATACTAGTTGACTTATTGTGTGCCATAATCAGGCTGCCAGGTTTAAAAATTGCTATATATATAAAGATAAAACATGATAAGAAGAACGTTTTGTTTCGTGTTAAGTTCATTAATATTATAATCCATATGTGTTAACTTATTTAAATTCGTCCGAATTAAATATAATAAAATATTATTATAGCCGCAGGAGCAATGAAATAATCTATAATCTTAATGTAATAAATATATATATTTATAAACCCTATACTACCTGCAAATAAATTTGTTAAGTTGCATATACCTATCTAATTAAATAATAAAAAAAAAAAATCTATACGCAAATCATAGTATATTTTTTATTTAACGATAATTTCATGTAAATCGAACTAAACTATAAACAATCGGATTCGTCGATAACTGTCAAACTACATCACGACATATTTTACGATGTCTATATATTATAATACATACCTATTTGTGTATACGTTCTCTTTGTATATCGTGAATATTAAAAAATGTTAAACGTATCATAGATTCAGCTACAGATTGTGTTAAAAAAATATTTTTAAATTAAATTTTTTTCTATACGAACTCGTATTTTTATCATTTTATTTACTACTAACGAAAACTGGATGGAACGATTCAATAATTATACCTGTAATAATAACGGCTGTTTGGAAATATTATTCATTGAAAAATAAATCGTGGTGTATTTAAAAAAAAAATACGATATAAACGCATACAAAAAGGATATACTACATGTTCGGTTAACATTTGAAGCGTACGCCGATTAATCATTTAGTTTGTTTTGTTTGTAATAAATCACATTAAAAAATTCTTTATAAAAATTGTAAAGCTCACAAAATTCGTATACTCTCGTGTAATTGTGCAATATTTCGTAAGACTATTATAAGTCGTTTTCTTAATATTCTATTATCACCGATTTATACAATAAACGAGTAGATCCTCACACCCGAATAACTCCCCTCAGGTTGTTATTAACTATTCATATTGCCAACGCTAAATTGTATCTACTAATGTTATTATTATTATTAAAATAAAATAATATTGATGGCATTTGTAGAGTTAATTAAAAGTCTATGGTAATAGACCAATTGGTCTTATTGAAAAATAATTTTGTAAAAATGGTTCCAATTAAAATTAAAACATAATATTTTTAAAAACAATGTATATTTTTTAAAATTTTGTTGAAATCTCATCAATTTTTGTTTTTTTATTTCAGAAATTTGTTACCGACGAAAACATGAAGATCTACTCTTATGATCGAAACATGCCGCTAATATTCATCGGCGGCGTGCCTAGATCCGGCACTACGCTCATGAGAGCCATGTTGGACGCCCATCCGGACGTCCGGTAAATATAAATGTTGAAATATATATATATATGATTCTGTCACAAATTTGTAATTAAAAATGTCTTAGTTTAATCTACATTGGTTGTGTAATTCAAAATTTGAGTAAACATATATTTATATATAACAATATTGTACTCGTATATACAATAATAAATAACGTATGTCATTTAAAAAAATTATGAACTTTGATATGATATATGTTAATCAAATGAGCTACATAATGATATTGATACACTTTAACTTAAGTTAATTCTAATACAATACTGGAACATAATTTCTAATAAACTGGTATATGCGTTTGGTTACAAGTAATCGAATATCAAGAGTTACCCGTATTATATACTTTTTGATATGATGACAACATTATTATTATGTAACATTGAAAGCTATTTTTTTAACTAGCATTTATAATTGAGTAAAATTTCTATCGAAAAACGTACAAAACATATTTATTGAATTCACAAAATAATGACCGATTAGACAATAATATTTAATATTTTATATTATAATTTTTAAAATTAGAAGTTATTAATTAATTCACATTAGTCTGTAGGTACATTAAATATAAAAATATTTCAATATTAAGAATTACGAAGCACGTTTTAACTCTAAATATATGCTGCAGGTGTGGCCAAGAGACTCGGGTAGTTCCTAGAATTCTACAGATGCGCAATCACTGGTACAAGTCGTCTAAAGAGTCGCTTCGGCTGAAAGAAGCCGGCGTTTCTGAAGAAGTCATAAACTCCGCGGTTGCTTCATTTATTCTTGAAGTAATCGCCCGGCACGGGGTACCGGCACCACGACTGTGTAACAAGGATCCACTAGCACTAAAATCCATGGACTATTTAAAGGTATTGTTTCCCAATGCCAAGTATATATTCATGGTGCGCGACGGCCGAGCTACCGTCCATTCCATCATATCGCGTAAAGTAAGTATAAATTGTAATATGTTATTCATTAATTTATTCTCATCCTTAAACATTTTTGAATATTTATAAAATATATACAAATTTTCTGTGCATGTGTAGATATTAAATGTTTGACTGTTTTCGTTATTTATCTTTTAAGCTTATAAATTATATAGGTAGGTACATAAAAAATATGTATATCTAAAAACAATAATGTTCAGTATAGTACTATATAATGCTTTGTAGAATGTATTAGGTATATTTGTATATTTTATATTTTATATTTTATATCTCCTTATCTATTCACTATAGATAAATCATTAATAGGCAATGGCCAATTACAAAAATATAAGTTTTTTTTAAAATTTTTTTTATTTTATTATTAAATGTTATCAATTTTCTTTTAAAGTAAGCGATATTGATGCTGTTCATATTTTATAAAAGCGATAAAAGTCATGATATCCGTAATCTAATAATAAATCATACATCAATAACCCGTATAATATTATACCATATTATGTAAATTGTCATAACGTTATATTATCATATATTATATATTATTATGTATTATGTATAGACACAAGACCATTGAGTTTTTTCTATTTAAAATGGAAATTGATGAACGCATATCGTTACTTCATATTTTATTTAGCGATTTGATCCCAACTGCTGAGTTGTGAATGAATTTTCATTCTCAGTAATATTTAACCACAGCAATGCTACATTTAACTAAAACATTTACATGTGTCAGAATTAAATCAAAAGCTATATATCATTTTTTATATTTTATTCTGTGAACGAGGTATTACTTTTCACTACAATCAACTTATATGCTTCTCCAAGTTACGATTTTCATCGTGAGTAACAAACTTATTATTTTAGAAAATATATGAGCCATTTTTTTATCGGATGAATAGTTTTCTTAGGCATATAAAAACAATATCATTAGAGTAAATCATCGTTGTTCGTTGAACGCTATAAATGTATAATAATAATAATACGATGTGCTAAGCAAAAAAATTATATCACACACAACTCCTACTTTTTTTTTTAAAGAAATATTTATTCAAAGAACTGGCTGCTAAACATCTAATGTACAAAAACCATTTCTGGATGTGAATAAACGCTACGATCTTTAAAATGAAATACGAACGTTAATGGCCTTATTAGGTACCAGAATAATTTCGAAACTTGATAAACTTTAATAATTAAACTTTGTGAATAAATCAAATAATTTAAAAGTTTATTTACGAGACTGGCTCATACAATATTTAATACGTTTACGACGCGTTAATTTTATTTACGCAAAAACGCTTTCATAATTCGTATTAGTTCATTTTCGTTTTGTCTGAAAAAGTATTTACGCGCCAGTTGGTTGTGGCTCACTGGGTTAAGTTAAATTAAAATGTACGTTTTGTATAATTATGTATATTATGTTATACTTCCTATGGTTTAATCTGACATTATTTTTGACATACAAAGGTATTTTAACAAATATTACAATGTACACGCCACTGAAGCAAGGTCACTGATGTCAAAACGAATCAGTTCTCCATCAAATCTGACACATATTTTTGAATTAAAATGGGTTGATTAATATTTTGATCACCAAATGGTTTTAGTTGAACCGACAGATGTATATAATTCGATTTGTAAACAGGCAGAATTTCTTTAATAAAAACATTATGAATACCATATTTAGAATAAGCTCTTTTAAGGCTATAATTGAACTAAAATTGTTCTTTTAGATTCTGAACGGGATGATGACTGTATTCGTTTTACGATCTAAGTGTTTTTTTTCTGTCTATAATCACCTTTTGGACTTTCTAGACCCTTAACTGTCATAAAATATTACTATACGTGAGACAATAAAAATAAAACCTTCGAAATGACAGCGATATGATGTGATTGCATTAACTAACGTATTTTATTATCTTAACATAAGTATACAAGTAATATAATTATATACATTATGTATTATACAGTTGAAAAATTTACGGTGTTGAAAGTTATAAATAATTTTTTTTTCCCTGAAATCTATACGACTTATTATTTCATCTCTTATTATTATTATGATAGAATGTATAATATTATAATATTATTACATCTTAATATGCTATATTTATTAAATCATTTTACGTGTTATATAGGTGACAATCACTGGTTTCGACTTGAACAGCTATAGACAGTGTCTGGAAAAATGGGATGACGCTATTAGCGTCATGTACAAAAACTGCAACAAAGTCGGGTCTGGGTACTGCCTGATGGTATACTACGAACAATTAGTGTTGAGGCCTCGGGCTACATTAACCGAGATACTCAACTTCCTGGATATCCCGTGGAACGAGACGGTGCTTCACCACAATGAAATGATCAACAAGCCTGGAGGGATCGCCCTATCGATGTAAGACCATACTGATCATTTTTCACTGCCCGCGTATAATATAATGTTGGATAGTTTATCTTTCGGCGATTTTCCAACGACTTAAAACAATTCTGTATTCATTTTCCTCATGATGGTTATAAATTATTAAATAGAACTTTGCGTTTAAGCTTTCCGTTTGTAGGTATCTCTATTTTGTTTTAAATTCTGAACGAAGTCATTTTTTTATGAATATTTAACAATTATTTATTAACATTTAATATTTATTTAAGTAGAGTAGATAATCAATATTTAGTTGATTTTTAATTAGACAGCCAACCAAAATTTAAATATATTTATAAGATTTACCTGATAGGTAGTATACCTATCACGTAACCTAAAAATTTGATTTCTAATTCATTTGTATCTTACATACTTCTAAACTATTTAATCTTTAGTTCTTATATTATTTAAAAATATAATTTGATCTTAATCTTTATTAGCTATTTTTCACTCATCAATTCATTCAATTCATTGTCTTATTTTATTATTGTATTCTTTATATATGACTTTTGAACTACTTACTTGCTTTATATCTATCGTTTTTTTTCGGCCACTTGATTCAATTTATTTTTTTCAGGAAACTTCCTAATTAAATTATTCCTAATAAATTTTGACCTCTAAAATACAATATTTAATTATATGTAATACACATGTATAATACATATATGTCTCAAGTGTATAATTCAAGTCATAAAATCAGTATGTATGTGCAATATAATCTTGGCTGGCTTAAATATATTTTTAAATTTCACGTAAATTCGTTAAATTCTACTGCGGTAACTGCGCTTATAGCGACAAATTATAATAATTTTATTAGTTAAGATAGTAAAAGTACGGACACGTGGTGTCTTATAACGCTCACAAAATATATACTCGACTTTGTAGTCCCTTTCTTGTGTGTGGCTGTGGTAAACTTGGGGTTCTCTTTGGCCAATCAAGGTTAGAGGGTCCCTCTTTTCCGTCTATAGTGCGCATTGACTACAAAGGAACCACGATACACTTTTACAAATATATATTTGATTATATTTATATACATTTTTATTATCATATTATAATTGCCATCATAAATCTATACTTTACAATAGCGTGTTTAGAGGTTTTCAAAAGAGTGTAGAGAAATGGCACACTAACAATTTTTTGAAGACATTTAAAATACAAAGATTCAAAAGCTAACCTATGATTTTTATTAAAATATTAGCTGTATGACTTGGTTAACAAATAATTATACAATTTTGAAATAAATTAATTCATATCGTATTCACGATCTAATTCGAATATACTATAAATGAGTGATATTTTTATAACCAAACATGAACGATTCAAACATTTGTGAGATTTGCGTTTTAACGAATAACCAGTCCCTTAGCTGTAAATGTGCGTCTCCTGTTTGGCATTGCGTTCAATTTACAAATAAGTATACTTCATCCCCGTTGTATACAATCTATTTATAATATATATATACTCATATAGCCCGCAGCAAGCAATGTCGCTTTAACTTTTGTGTTTGTTGCAGGGTGGAACGTTCGTCCGACCAAGTGGTCAGGCCGCTGTACCAAGAAGCATTGACCAAATGGGTCGGGCAAATACCCGATGACGTGGTTAACGATATGGCAAACATCGCGCCCATGCTAAACACGCTTGGCTATGACCCGGCCGCAAACCCACCCACGTACGGCATCCCGGAAGACAATGCTGGAGGATCGGAGCGTCAGTATGACACGAGTGCCAACGGAGATAACGGAGATACGAAACATACTACTACGCGAAGGAGGTAGTCAAAGGAATACAATATGTTATGCAAAATTTATTTTATTTTTTTTTTTTTTTTATATGTATAAATTGTGTTTAACACTTATTATTATTTTAATTGTTTCAATTTTGTGTACAATGTACATAGGTACCTACTTTAATGTAATAATATTTTAATTTTCTATTAATTACAGACGTTTGTCGAACGTGTGTACATAGTTAATATTAAATAAATATATGTATTATTAATTAATTATACATATTACTATACGATGATAATATTTATGTGTATGTATGTATTTGTTCTACTTATTATTACGATGATGTTGGGTATTATAAATATGTACATAGTTAATAATGTTTGTGCGTTATTATTATTATTATTATTATTATTATTATTATAAGTATCATTACTGATGTACTGTTGTTCGCGTTTTTTTTTTAAATATTTTTATATATATATATATTTACATATTATTATATTTTATTATTACTTTCCTTTTTGTACTTAGATATTATTTTCACTGATTACAAGTGAGAAAATTCTTGTCGTTATATATGATTACTATTTTTTTTTTTTTTTAATTATTATTATTATTATTATTGTTATTAAACGACAATCTCAACTTAAAAATAATACCTAAATTATTTTTCTTTATATATAGCAAGACTTGTACAAATCATAGGTTATAACGTGTTATTTCCTACTGAGGCTTGATTTCTGTGTTTATTATATAAATAATTGTAATACCCCATTATCTGTCTAAAAACATAATATTTAATATAGATGTTTATTTTAGAACCTTTTCTATTTTAAAATTATTAAAAATGACCAATTAATACCAATTTGATCTTTTTATAACAATTTGGTCAAATCATAATTATTAGGTAATGTATAAACTATAAAAATCAATTTTATTACCCAGCGTTATTATACTATCAAAATAACAAAAACTGGTCGTCATTAAACACGAAAAACGATTGTATTTATTTGAAGAAGGGAAAATACATAAATCAATTAATTCAGATAAGTTATATTACTATAAAAACATAAACGTTTGTTAAGTTAATAGGTTTCTGTTTTTACTTTATAAAAAATGCTGACACATGAATAACAAATTTTTAACGGTTTTCAATGAAAACTTTTCATTATAAATAAATAAAACAATCACATTATATAAAAATTAAAATAACTTATTTGATTTTAGTGATTTGCATTAAGTTCATGATACCTAAAAGTACCCCATGATGTAAAAAACTGAACTTATCCCTTTTGAAAGTAATATTTCGTAAACACATTATTTTTAAATTAATACTGAAAATTCGAAAAGTCCGAAAAATGCAGTGAGCTATCGTGACATTGGTTTGATTACTTAAAGTTAGTTACTCCAAATATTCTTTATGCTTATTGCTTACTACACACACGTATAAATTGTATAATTTTCTAAATAAAATATGCAACTTGTTATGTAGTTATAAGTTTATATTTAAATGCATCAACAGTTCTGTTAATTTTTTTATTGAGAATACAACACAAAGATTTTTATTTCAATCAATAGAATAATACATTTATTTACCTGTTAAGAAGAATTTTGAAACATCAAGTTAAATAAAACACAGAAAGAATACATCTGCAATAATTTAAATTTAAATTTATGTTGAGAATAATTTATTTATTCTATATAATATCAATAATAATGCGAGATTAACGATTGATATTACTATAAAATATAATAAATCTACTAAAAGTTTAATTTACGATCAATTGACCACGATAAAATGATATTTTACGTTTTTTTTTTTTTATAATATTTCGTCTCAAATATTTCAATAATAATAATTTAAAACACTCATTTTATATTTATCAATATAAAAATAATATTTAACAATATAAGCAATGAGTCACTGAAAATTTACTTATTTAGCAAAGTCTGTTTAATTAAACAAACAATAATAGTAAGCATTATTATAATGTAGATCAAGAAAAGCAAGATTTTCAATTAATTTTATAACATCCACAGGGGTTATGTTAACTAAACACTTTGATTATGTTTAATAAATGTATTGTATTTAGAGAATGAAAAAAATAAATATTTTTAATAGGTATACATAAAATTTATATTTATAAACACATTTAATTATATGTATATAACACTGGTGTACTTTAAGTACACTACAAAAAAATATTCCGTATTAATCTTAAGGCTTAATTATGTGAAATGTAACATTCATCGTTTATTCATTATATTTTTAAACAGAAAACATCGAAAGTTATTGTATGAATGTTTTTACACTTTTAAAAGTTTGGTTTTGTATTAAACTTGTATGTTGAACTTCAGCGGTTACGGTAAATGATTGATCTTTGTGACTAATAATCTTACTGTTGATATTATATTTTAGACATTATTGAGTCAATATAGATTAAATATTGTTTGTTACATAGGTACGTAGGTAAAACGTAGAATTAATAGAAATCCCTTAGCAGTTAGCAGTGCTAAAAAGTACTTTTTGAGAGGGTACTTACTTTAAATTTCGTCAATATAATATTATCTCAAATATTAATAACGAATCTGTTTATACTATATTTTTAAAATAAAATGCTTTGGTATAATCACCCAAAGGCCAAATTACTGTATAATCAAGAAGCCTGCATAAATCTAATTCTAATCTCCTATTTTCTCACACAGGTATTTTAGTCTTATGGTGTAATGTACGTATAGGTAAGAATTAACAATCAAAATTATTTCATGATAAGTCAGTTAATATTATAGACGTACAATTCTTTATTTATTGTATTTACTTAAATTTATATCATATCACATCATTTGTACTTAAAAAATTACAAATATATTGTATTAATTTTGTTGATACACTTAATTAGTATTTTATTTTAATTTCCACGCTAAAAATATATTTGAATGCAGACATTTTCAGGTTAATTAATTTATTTTATTTTTTTTTAATAAAAGTTTGACATAAGACATAACTTTTAAGATTCAACTTGGTTAAAAATACATATTTTTACATAAAAAAATACATAAAACAATTAGTAAATATTTATAAAATAGGTACACCTATATATTTTCTATTTTTTTTTTTTTTTAAGTATAGGTATTTTATATTTTAAGCAATTCACGATAATCACTGTACACAACTAAAAAATTATTGTTGTAAATTAATAAATATAGAATACAATTTTAAATATTTAATTTTAAATCAGTATATTTCATATGAGATGGAAGAACTATATTAATATTTTAGAAAAAAAACTTAGAAAAATGAATTATGTATTAAGAAATTTAAACAAAATTTTTGAGCTACCTAAATTAAGTCAAGTTTAGTTAGTATTATTAGAATCAATAATATCATATGGAGTTATAAACTGGGATAGTGCATTTTATAATGCTATATCTTAGTTAAGTATCTTTACTTAGTCTTAGTAAATCTATGTCAAAATCAAATTACTAAAATCACCCTCAATAAAGAACAAATGTACTCAACAACAAATTTAAATAAAGGACAAAACTTGTTGACTGTTAAAAAAATCTATCTAAAAATTACTGCGATATATTTAAAAACCACAATTTATTACAATCAATACAACCAATATTGCATGGAGTAAACATAAGATACACAAAAACCGATTTTATCATAAAATATATAGATCTAAAACAACCACATCTGGTAGATATTTTGAAAAAAATTGGAACCATATTACATAATATATATTATATACCATCATAGCTAACAAACCTATAATTTCAAAATATTTTGCATGAGGTTTTGAAACTTTAACATACATTATTATTTTATTATTTTGTATACTTACGCAAAGTCACAATGCCATTTTTAAAACATTTAAAATTAATTCTATGCTTCGTCTATTTATACCACGAACTTATTTACGGTAGGTAGGTATTAGTCCAAAAGTTAATAATTATATAAAATATAATATAATGAGATACTTTATAATAATAACAATTAAAAATTTATAATATAAACATTTTGTATAACTAGCAGTAAAATAAGTTAATTTAATAGTAATATAAAAATAAATATATCATAAAATATATTTGGTAATATAAGCTAACAGACTATTTTCGCTCAGAATTGTGTTACGTATATGGTTTATCATTAAATTCAAATTTAATACATCCATTAAAGTGACTTACCCAATGAAGAAGTCCACTCTCAACAACGACACCAATACCTACCATATAGCAGAGCATTTATCTACTTCCTTCCGATTTTGCTTGTTTATGTATCATAATCAATCATCATCACTAGAGTATGGATTTCTATGCAAATTAATATCTTTTTCCTTTTAATATTTTTAGATTTTTTCCAGTTCACTCCACGAATCATCATAGTTCAAAGGTAATGGTGAAATTTTTTTTAGCAATTTTCTTCATTTTTAAATGTTATTGCATATTTTTGACAAAATTAAAAATGTATTGCATATTGAAGCAAAAATTTTAAAAAAATGTATACATTTGTCAAGTAAAAAAATTAAAACTAAATTTTATAGGCATTAAATAATAATTTATTTAAAAATAAGACACAACCATATAAGATAAAAAAATATCACTCGACTACATCGTATGTCGTCCGTGCATCGTAAATATGCTGAAAATAAACTCTGTGTCAAACTATAATCTTAATAGCTCTTATAAATTGATCTTAATTGTATAGTTTTTGCACAATTTCATGATTTTTACTGCATATTTTTTGCATATTCTCATAATTTTTACTGCATATTATATGGCATATTTCGATACTTTTTAGTGCATAAAAATCCACGCTCTAAATTCATCACTTATCATCTTTTGAAGCATTTTAATTCTTCAAAAGGGATTTTTGGAAAATCAAGAGAACAAAAATCAAAAAAAAATATACTATAAGTAATATTTATTGAACACGATTTTTTTTAAAATACTTTAAATATTCAAATTAGCAGTTTATTAAGTCACTTTATAATTTTGAAAATATATTATTTTTACTGTTTACTTATAGATATTTTAAATTTTTGATTTTATTTTAGTTTTTTTTTTTTTTTTACATATATATAAACACCTACTTATGATAATTTATATGTTCTATTAAGAAGCTT